AGCACCATTTTTTGAAGATGCTTTCTTTTTCCCATTGTATAATTTTAGCTTCTTTGCTAAAAATCAGGTATTCTTAGGTGTGTGGTTTAATAGTAGGGACTTCAGTTTTATTCCATTGGTCTACCTGTCTGTTTTTGTGCCAATACCAAGCTGTTTTCACTGCTATAGCTCTACAGTAGAACTTGAAGTCAGGAATGGTGATGCTTCCATTTATTGTACAGGGTTATTTTGGCTATACTGTTTTTTTTTTTTTTTCTTTTGAAGTTGAGTTGCATCGATGTTCATGAGGGAGACTGGTTTGTAGTTCTCTTTCTTAGTTGTGTCTTTGTGTGGTTTGGGTACCAAGGTAATTGTAGCCTAATAAAAGGAGTTTGGCAGTGACCCTTCTGCTTCTATTGTGTGGAACAATTTGAGGAGTATTGATATTAGCCCTTCTTTGAATTTCGGGTAGAATTCTGCACTGAAACCATCTGGCCCTGGGCTTTTTTCGGTTGGGAGACTTTTGATGACTGTTTCTATTTCTTTAGGGGTTATAGGTCTATTGAAATTGCTTATCTGTTCTTGATTTAATTTTGGTAAGTGATATCTGTCCAGGAAATTGTCCATTTCCCTTAAATTTTCCAGTTTTGTGGATTACAGATTTTCAAAGTATGACTTAATGATTCTCTGGATTTCCTCAGTATCTGTTATGTCCCCATTTTCATTTCTGATTTTATTAATTTGTATATACTCTCTCTGCCTTTTGGTTAGTTTGGATATAGTTTTGTCTGTCTTGTTGATTTTTCTGAAAGAACCAACTGTTTGTTTCACTGATTCTTAACCCAGGAGGAGTAGATACCAGGAAGTAATCAAATTGAGGGCTGAAATCAATAAAGTAGAAACAGAAAACAATACAAAGAATCAATGAAACAAAGAGTTGGTTCTTCGAGAAAATGAATAAGATAGACAAACCTTTATCCAAACTAACCAAAAGGCAGAGAGAGAGCATGCTAATTAGCAGAATCAGTAATGAAAAGGGGGGACATAACAACAGACACTGAGGAAATTTAGAGAATCATCAGGTCATACTTCGAAAACCTGTATTGCTCAAAATTCGAAAATTTAAAGGAAATGGACAGTTTCCTGGATAGATTTCACTTTCCAAAATTAAAGAACAAATAAGAAATTTCTATAGACTTATAACCCCTAAAGAAATAGAAGCAGTCATCAAAAGTCTCCCAACCAAAAAAAAGCCAGGGCCAGATGTTTTCAGTGCAGAATTCTACCAGAAATTCAAAGAAGGGCTAATATCAATACTCCTCAAATTGTTCCATACAATAGAAGCAGAAAGTTCATTGCCAAACTCTTTTTATGAGGCTACAATTACCTTGGTACCCAAGTCACAGAAAGACACAACTAAGAAAGAGAACTACAGACCAATATCCCTCATGAACATTGATGCAAAAATACTCAATAAAATACTGGCAAATAGAATCCAAGAACACATTAGAAAAATCATGCACCATGAGCAAGTAGGCTTCATCCCAGAGATGCAGGGATGGTTCAGTGTATGAAAATCTATCAATGTAATCCACCATATAAACAAACTGCAAAAGAAAAACCACATGATCATATCACTAGATGCTGAAAAAGACTGTGACAAAATCCATCACCCCTTTGTGATAAAGGTCTTGGAGATATCAGGGATATCAGGAACATACCAAAACATAATACAAGCAATGTAGAGCAAACCAACAGCCAACATCAAACTAAATGGAGAGAACGTCAAGGCTATTCCTCTAAAATCAGGAACAAGACAAGGCTGTCCACTCTCTCTATACCTCTTCGATATTGTTCTTGAAGTTCTAGCCAAAGCAATAAGACAACAAAAGGCGATCAAGGGAATACAAATTGGAAAGGAAGGGCTAGAGAGATGTCTCAGAGGTTAAGAGCACTGGTAGCTCTTCCAGAGGTTCTGAGTTCAATTCCCAGCAACCACATGGTGGCTCACAACTATCTGTAATGAGGTTTGGTGCCCTCTTCTAGGGTATAGGCATATATGCCAGTACACTGCATACATAATAAATAAATATTACAAAAACAAATTGGAAAGAAAGAAGTCAAACTTTCAGTATTTGCAGATGATATGATAGTTTACATAAGTGATCCTAAAAACTCTACCAGGGAAACTCCTGCAGCTGATAAACACTTTCAGCAAAGTGTCAGGATACAAAATTAACTAAAAAAATCAGTAGCCCTACTATATTCAGATGATAAATGGGCTGAGAAATAAATCAGAAAAATATCATCCTTTACAATAGCCACAAACAACATAAAATATCTTGGTTAACACGAACCAAACAAGAACTTTGAGTCTTTAAAGAAAGAAATTAAAGAAGATACCTCAAAATGGAAAGATCTCCCATGCTCTTAGATAGGTAGATCAATTTAGTAAAAATGGCAATCTTGCCAAAAGCAATTTACAGATTCAATGCAATCCCCATCAAAATACCTGCACAATTCTACACAGATCTTGAAAGAACAATTCTCAACTTTATATGGAGAAACAAAAGACCCAAGATAGCCAAAACAACCATGTACAATAAAGGAACTTCTGGAGGCATCACCATCCCTGACTTCAAGCTCTATTATAGAGCTATAGTCCTGAAGACAGCTTGGTATTGCCACAAAAATAGATAGGTAGACCAATGGAATAGAGTTGAAAACCCTGATATTAACCCACACACCTACAGACACCTGATTTTTGACAAAGGAGCTAAAGTTATACAATGAAAAAAAGAAAGCATCTTCAACAAATGGTGTTGGCATAACTGGATTCAGACATGTAGAAGACTGCAGTTAGATCCATATCTATCGCCATGCACAAAACTTAAGTCCAAATGGATCAAAGACCTCAACATAAATTCAGCCACACTGAACCTCCTAGAAGAGAAGGTAGGTGGTACCCTTGAACAAACTGGTACAGGAGACCACTTTCTGAACATAACACCAGTAGCACAAACATTGAGATTGACAATTAATAAATGGGACCTCCTAAAACTGAGAAGCTTCTGTAAGGCAAAGGACACAGTCAGCAAGACAAAACGACAGCCCACAGAATGGGAAAAGATATTCACCAACCCCACATCTGACAAAGGGATGATCACCAAAATATACAATGAACTCAAGAAGCTAGCCACCAAAACACCAAACAATGCCATTAAAAAGTGGAGTGCAGAACTAAATAGAGAATTCTCAACAAAGAAATCTAAAATGGGTGAAAGATACTTGAGAAAGTGCTCAATATCCTTAGCCCATCAGGGAAATGCAACTCAAAACCATTCTGAGATACCATCTTACTCTTATCAGAATGGCTAAAATCAATAACACCAATGACAGTCTATGCTGGAGAGGATTGGAGAACACTCCTCCATTGCTGGTGGGAGTGCAAACTTGTAAGACCACTTAGGAGATCAGTATGGTGGTTTCTCAGGAAAATGGTAATCAGTCTACCTCAAGATCCAGCAGTTCCTCTCTTGGGCATATACCCAAAGAATGCACATTCATACAGTAAGGACATATGTTCAACTATGTTCATAGCAGCATTATTGTAATAGCCAGAACCTGGAAGCAACCTAGATGCCTCTCAACTGAAGAATGGATAGAGAACATGTACATTTACACAATGGAGTACTACACAGCAGAAACAAACAATGGAATCTTGAAATTTGCAGGCAAATGGATGGAACTAGAAGAAACCATTCTGCGTGAGGTAACCCAGTCACAAAAAGACAAACATGGTATGTACTCACTTATATATGATTTTTAGAGATAGAGAAAAGGATTACCAGTCTACAATCCACACTGCCAGAGGAGCTAAGAAACAAGGAGGACCCCAAGAGAAGATTGCATAGTCCCCCGAAGAAGGGGAGGGGGACAAGAACCCCTGAGCAAAGTGGGAGCCACGGGGAAGGAGGGAGGTGGGGGAGGGGAGAGGAGAACAAGAGGACTGAGACAGGATAGGACTAGAGAAGGGCAAGAAAGGAGATGCCTTGATAGTGTGAGACAGTACAGGTTTGGAGAGAGGTCTGGCACAGGGAAAATGTAGGGAATCCACAGGGATGACCACAACTAACAATCTAGGCAGTGGTGGAGAAAATGCCATTGATGCCCTTCCCCTATAATGAGACTGATGTCTACCTTGGTTACCATTCCTAGAGCCTTCATCCAGTAGCTGTTCCAAGCAGAGACAGACACCCACATCTAAGCACTGAACCATATTCTTGGAATCCAGTTGTGGAGAGGGAGGTGGGATGAACAAAGGAGCCAAGAAGGTGCTAGAGAAACCTGCAGAAACAGTTGACCTGACCGACTGAGAGCATGGAGACCCTACTCATAAAGCTGGGGAAACAGCATTGGACTGAACCAGGCCCTCTGAATTTGGGTGCCAGCTAGGAGACCAAAGCAGATAATGGGACCTCTAACAGTGGAGCCAGTGTTTATCTGTAGAGCACAAATGGACTTTGGGAGCGCATTCCCTATGGAGGGATACTATTGCAGCCCAGATACAGCAAGGAG